TTGAAAATGTTAATAAACCAGGGAGATGGCTTGCATATAGATTAAAAAAAGAAAGAGAAAAAAGATTAATAAGTAAGCTACGGGACTCAGAGGGTGAGCTACATTACCACAATGACTTAATGAAAAAAAGTACAAAGGCTTACTATGAGACACTTTATAAGGCACAGATGGTCTCTAAAGAGGCAATCCAGACTTACTTAAAAGAAGCAAACCTCCCAAAGGTTTCTGAGAATATGTGGCAGAGGCTAAACGAGAATATATCAATGATGGAGATTACGGAGGCAATAAAAAAGCAAAAGAAAGATAAAACACCAGGACTTGATGGACTTCCTGCAGAATTTTATGTAGCACTACAAGATATTATAACACCAACTTTGAAAGATTTATGTAATGAAGTCTTCACACAGACAAAAATACCGGACTCATGGACTGAAGCCAATATTACTCTGATACCTAAAGAAGATACTGATCTTACACTAATTAAAAATTATAGACCAATATCGCTATTAAATGTGGATTATAAAATCTTTGCTGCAATAATGGCAGAAAGAATGAAAAATTTTTTGACTGAATTCATCCATTCAGACCAAAACGGTTTCCTACCAAAAAGACAGATAAAGAACAATTTGAGGATTATTTTAAATGTCTTGGAATATTATGAAATCCATCCAGGGAACCAGATGGCACTTATATTTCTTGATGCACAAAAAGCCTTTGATAATTTAAACTGGCAATTCATGTTTCAACAACTTCAAGAAATGGAGTTTGGTGAGAATTTTAACAAAGCAATTCAAGCAATTTATAAGAAACAAACAGCAAGAATACTTTTAAATGGAGATTATACAGATGGATTTGAGATTTAAAAAGGCACCAGACAGAGATGTCCATTGTCCCCCCTGTTATTTATTCTTACATTAGAGGTACTGGCAAGAAATATTAGACAAGATACAGAAATCAAAGGTCTGGAGATTAAAGACCAGAAATATAGCCTTTGCGGATGACTTGTTTTTTATTTTAGAGCCATTGGAAACAGCTGATAAACTTTTGCAGAAAATTGAGAAATTTGGAGAAGTGGCTGGATTGAAAATAAATAGGGAAAAGACTAAAGTATTAACAAAAAAACCCCTAACAGATAAACAGAAAATTCAACTTGCTAAAATGACAAACCTTCAAATAGTTAAAAAAGTCAAATATTTGGACATTTATTTAACTGCAAAATATACCACATTAAAAGAAGATAATTATGAGAGATTAATGAAACAAATTAAAATAGACTTGGAAAGAATTCCCAGTTGGATCTCATTGTTAGAAATGCATGTACACCCAAAGTTTATCCAACTGGGAAAGATTATAATATATAAAAATATCCTAGATGAGAGAGGGGAATTGAAACTCAGGAAAATTCTTCAAGATGAAGGGATAGAAATAGAATGGTGGGCATACCTTCAATTATAGGCAAGATATTGGAAAAATAAAAAAGAGTTAGGTATAAAATTAGAACCAATTGGGCTGGACAAAATACTATTAGGCACAGAGGATAAAATGATTAAAAAACTATATCACTATTTGTTAAATCAGGCAATGTATGAGGAACAGGTAAAAGAGACTATGTTAACGTGGAGCAGGGATTTTGATCTCAATTTTGATCTGCACATCTGGCAGGAATTATGGGTAAGAAACAGGAAGCTTACTCTGGCCACCTCTTACAAAGAAAACCTCTACAAAATGTTCTACAGGTGGCATCTCCCACTCGTACGATTAGCTAAAATGGGTCCAAATGTCTCCTCCAAATGTTGGAAATGTAAATTGGCAAAAGGACACACTACCATATGTGGTGGGAGTGCCCATGAGCCTGTGACTTTTGGAATAAGATTAAAAAATGGCTGGAAGAAATATTAAAGTTAGTGGTAGAGTTAAAACCAGAACTCTTTACTAGGCATAACCATGCAGAAATACAACAAAGGAGTGTTTTATTTGATATTACACATTCTCACGGCTGCTAGATTGCTGTATGCTCAAAACTGGAGGAATAAAGGAATTCCAACAGAAGAAGAGATTATATATAAAATTTTATCGTGTGCTGAAATGGATAGGCTCACAATGGAAATGAAAGATAAGACAGAATCAGACTATTTCGAGATCTGGAACAAATTTTATCACTGGTGTGAATCAAGGAGAACTGCTCGGGTTTTAAATTAGCGTTAAGATAGAATTATATATAACTGTATATATAATTGTATTGTATAGAAGAATATGTTTATATAAAGATCAAGAACTATGTATTAATTACATGTATCAAGAGGAACAAATTGGTAGGAATATTTATTTTGGAATGTCACGTTATGTCCATCTTTGTTTTTAACTGTACTATAAATAAAAAACTTTTTTAAAAAAGACTTGGAAAGGTGGGAAAATCTTCAATTATCACTCCTAGGAAGAATAGCGGTTAAGATGAACATTTTACCAAAGCTAATTTTTCTATTTCAAACAGTTCCTGTTAAACTGAGTAAGAATTTTTTGGATGATCTAAATGCAATGATTCTAAGATTTATATGGCAAAGAAAGAAAGCTAGAATAAAATGTAAACTGTTACAAGAAACTAAGGATAGAGGGTGCTTTGGACTTCCAGACTGGAGACTTTATTATCAAGCAGCTAAGAATGGATTGTATTGAGAAATAAAAGATTGCTTTATTTAGAGAGACATGATCTTCAACTATATGCTTATATATGGTATGAGAAAACTAAAGCGCATAAATACTTTCAAAATCATGCCATAAGAAACGTACTACTTTCAGAATGGGAGAAAATCAGACATAAAATATATATGAAAATACCTGAGTGGCTTTCAACAATGGAAGCATTTGCTTACCAAACCTGATTAACTATGATAAACTGGTTAGTTATAAAGATATTTTGGACAAAGAGGGAGAACTTAAGGACAGGCAAACTCTTCAACAACAAGGTATTGACTTAACATGGTGGTCCTATCTGCAAATTCAAACAAGATACAAAAAATATATAAAATCAACAGGATTTTACAAAGAACAGATTCCATTAGATAAAATCTTGTTAAAAACAGATGATAATTTGATTAAGAAACTCTATAAATTTCTTTTAAACTGGAAGATGGAAGAAGAACAAGTGAAAGAAACAATGATAGTATGGGCAAAGAACTTTGGATATTCTATAGATTTAGAAGACTGGCAAAAACTTTGGGATAAAAACATTAAGCTTACAAAAGCTGCAGCATATAAAGAAAACTTATACAAGATGTTTTACAGATGGCATATGACACCAGTTCACTTAGCGAAAGTGTTTAAAAATGTTTTGAATACTTGTTAGAAATGTAAACAGCCAGGCACCTATTACCATGCCTGGTGGATATGCCCTAATGCTAAGAAATATTGGTCTAAGATCCATAGAGGGTTGGAAAAGATGATGAAAATACAGATAGAATTTAAACCAGAATTGTTTTTGTTAGGAATATTAAGACCTAATTATGGTAAAGAGAATGACTACTTGATACTGCATGTTTTAACAGTTACAAGGATAGTATTTGTCCAATTTTGGAAAAATGAGAATCTATTATCTGACCAGGCTATAATTACTAAAATGTTAGAGTGTGCAGAAATGGATAGATTAACATTGGAGATAAAAGAAAAAGATGATTCAGTTTATTTTAAAACTTGGGAAAAATTCTATCAGTGGTTAGAGACGCGTTAGAATTTGAAAAGGACTTAATATTTCAGAATAGATGATTGATCTTTAACTGAGTTATAATTTATAGGTTGATAATATCTCTATTTTTAGTGATTTAGTGATTTTTAACCGTTAATGTTGATAGTCATGACTTGTTGAGATTTTATTATTCATGTTCATTTAAATAGATGAATCTATTTGTTTATTAACTGTCAGTAATATGGCTACAGTTAATCTTATTTTAAAAATGGTTGAGTATGATATATTTACTCATTATTATGATCCGGACAGTAGCTTGTTTGTTAAAATATGTGATTATTGTACCTATCCTTATCCCATCCTAAATCCCTCATCCCCTTCCCTCCATTCCCTTCCCTTCCCATACCTGTATTGTTCCTATTTTTTCCTTATTCATATAAACTCAATAAAATATTTTTTAAAAAAAGCATTGTGATTGTATTCTTGTACATATTAAACAATGGATGAGTGGTCTGCCTATGTGCAGGCATAATGTATAACAAAAACATCAACCTGCCAATTGAACACATGTATGTGTGCTGCTATAACAATAAGGGTACTTATTGTTTTATCTAGGGGGGAGGGGTGTTATGTCAAGGGCCTGCTGAATCATTCAGCAGGCTCAGAAATATTGCAAAGGGTCTGAGGCAAACCACAAGGCTGCCCGGGACCAGATTGGCTGTCTCCAGCCTTGCACGCATGAGCAAGGCGTGAAAACAGCCTTGCATTCATTGGCTGATGCTGGCTTTTGCAAGAACACTATAAAAGGTCTGCGCGCCATTTTTTCTGTTGCTGTTGTGTTGGAGTAATCAATAAAGAAGACTTGCTGTTACACCATTAGTTTCCTTGCAATGCTTTTAACCTGCGGATTTAACAATTATTATTCTTACTTTCCTACTTATTACAGCATGTAATGGTTTAGTATCTTCCAACCCTAAAAAGTTATTTTTTCCTAGAATCCATATTAAAAGATTCCACATCTAAAAACAATGGTAACTTGTGACACTAATAAACATGAAGCAAAATTACATTACATCATCTAGAGTTTAGAAAATACGGAATAACAATGAAGGATCTGTTCAACAACACAACTCCTACTTTTTAAAATTAACCTATACTTTAATAATATCATCGTGCTGTATAACATGTTTTGATGTGTAACATGTGCTTTCCTTCAATGAACATGCAGAATAGAAAATATTCCAGAGAGGAGGTAAATTGATGCTTAAAGATTCTTGAGTTTTACTTTTTTCCTAATATGTTATCATTGTCACTCCCGCAGATCAACAGAATTTGACATTTGATCCAGTCACAGCCAACAAATACCTGCAGATATCTGATAATAACCAGAAGGCAACTCATCCCCAAGGTTTTCAAAAGCCAAAACCAAATGACCCTCAAAGGTTTGAGCCATGGCAAGTCATGTGTACTCAGAACTTCAGCCAAGGCAGTCACTACTGGGAAGTAGAGTTATCTGACCACTCCGTCATGGTTGGCGTAGTGTGCCAAACATTCACCAGATTGAAACAGGCTCATCAGAAGTTCACCATTGGGTTGGATAAATTCTCCTGGGGCCTACATATCCAGGAAGACAGCTACATGGCTTGGTACAATGACAAGTCTACAAAGATAAAAGAACCTCTGTGCAAATTCATTGGAGTTCTATTGGACTGTGATCAAGGAATGATATCCTTTTACAGCATAGACAATAATATGAAATGCCTTCATGTTTTTCACGCCACCTTTACAGAGCCTCTAGTTCCAATTTTCTGGCTTTGTGAAGGTACAGCCGTGACTCTTTGCCAAAGGCTGCCCAGCCAGATTTAACTGTTGAGAAGTCACCTGGTTTACAAGTATAGGCAAAGACTGCCCCTATGGAAAAACTCTGAGTAAGCAAATACCTCTCGAACATTGAAAAAAAATTAAGCTACTTGGCTGTACAAGAGACAATTCTTCTCTGTCTTTTATAGTTGTAAATTCCAGGTACAGATGTAGTTAGATGCTTATACAGCACAGAATCTAATACGTGTGTTTTTGGGGCCGCATAAAGCTTTCTGACAAGCTACAAAATTAAGAAATGAATAGCAATAAAGAAATAGTTTAAACATAATTAACTTTTAATTGGGAAATTGTCATAGCCAATAAAGAATCAAGTTGGACAGAAAGAAAATGCACAGTAGTGTTTGCCCTGGATAGATCATTATTCACAAGCATTCTGCAGTCACTTCATTATGAAGGTATGTTGTGAAACAGTTAAGTACATATATAGTTTCTTATATGGGTGACTGGATAATAAGAAGTTCTTAACAATTCATATTCCAGAAAGCAATTTTTAAAATTTATTGTAATCTTTTCCCTACTAGAACAGACTACAGCCTTTAAAAAGATCAACAAGATCTTTGAATGGAAAACAGAATTATAAAAATGCAAGCATTAATGTTTTTTTTTTAAAAAAGCAGCTTAAAAGGAAATCTAGATTTAAAGCAGGTTTTATTCCATTTTCCTAAGTTTGTGAAAATTTGCAGGGAAAGAAAGCTTATTTTTCTATGGAGAAAATTATGACATGTATAACTAGCATTATAGGTTCTTGTCATGTTTATTATCATTTTTATTCTGTGCATACAAAAGGAAAGTTGGAATGATGTTATGTAATGATCCTCAGAACTGTCCATTACCAAGATATATCTTACAAAATTGAACAGAATAGGACCATATTTGGTATGTGTCTGGGGGACGGAGATGAGGGCTGAAAAGAAACTGGAAAAAGAAAGATCAAAGTTGAAACTGAGTCAGATCTGGCTAGAGATTTTGGGGAAAAGATCCAGGAAAAATAATTCTTTCAATCAATCTGTATGGGAAAGGCAGGAGGCAGTTGCTCAGCTTGCTGTCAATTCCTCCATTCTAAGCACTTCTCCATGCAATTCAAGGCCACTAGTAAAGAGTTAGGAAGAATTCCAAAAATGATGCTATGTATTGTTCCCCTACCTCAGTGATAGGGAGAGACCGAGTGCCCAAACTGCAACTCAAAACCACTTATGTATCCCGGGTGCTGGGTGGGTGTGGCCGCTGGGTGGGCATGGCTACAGTGGTCATGGCAGATGGGTGGGCGTGGCCAGCTTGATGTTGCTCCTGGGGAGCGATGCCTGTGGGGGCTGGGCAAGGTTGGGGAGATCCAGGGGGTCTTTGGTGGGTAGTGGTGGGCAGGAGGCTTGTCCTGTGGGGTGAGGTGAGGCAGGGCGGGGGTGCCATTGTCGCAGGGCAAGGCAAAGCAGGGGCTGGGGAGGCTACTACCTGACACCATTGGTCCCCGCACACAGAGACTAGCGAGCGCATGGGTGCTAGGATGCATCTGGCCATGTGGGACCTTGGCGAGTTAGCAGGCGGCTGGTTGAAGAGGACAGTTGCCATCTCCGGGGTATGGTGTGCGTGCCCACAGAGAGGGCTCTAAGTGCCACCTCTGGCACGCATGCCATAGGTTCGCCACCACTGCCCTACCTAGTAGTCTTTAAGTCATGTCTCCTGCTACCTGCTACCGTAATAATGAAGCCATCTTTCTATTCATTAGCATGGAAAAGGAACAGCACCATTGGAACTGAAGGATCTTCCACCATCAGCCATGTTGCCACAGAGCTCTTGATGTCATATGCTAATTTGTTGGCAGTGTAGCTTTAAATATCAACAGGTATCTCCACTATTACAAACCCATCCAATTATGCAAAATCCAATGTTACCAGCTTGTCAAAGCCTTAACTACTGAGGAGTGGCTCCAAATATTTATTCCTGCCCTCAGTTTATAATAGTGGTGGCAGATTGATTAAAAACAGAGAAGGGAAAGAATAATGTATTTCAGCTGTGTTTTGAGAAACTAGCACTAGGTGACGCTGGCCAGATGACAGAAACTGCCTTTTCAAGCTTTCACCTGTGCATCTTTCCTAGGGAATAAAATCAATTCATGGACGCTTTGAAGAAATTAAGAACACCTAACTTGCGCAGTTGTATAAATATGGTCCAAAAAAAGCCAGGTTTCGTGTTTAAAAAAAAAGTTAAAACAGAAATTTAACTGCAGGAAAATCGGGGGGGGGGGGAGAGGAGGAATCTGTCAGTAATTCATGACTCCTAATACCCTCGCTAAGTGTTATCACCCGACTATCTGCTGCTGAAATGGACGGGACTTGAGAGGAGTAAAATGATGCAATCGTGTCCTGTTTGGAAAATTCGACGGCGGCGCGCAGGCGGGAACAGTCAACTTCCCAAGTTCCGAAACACCCCTGGGATTGTTTCACAATTACTCACACATTTTTAACTAGAGTAGGAAGGGCGGGGAAAAGCTTGACGCGGGTTCATTTCGCGCGCCTCGAGGAGGGGCGGCACTTTTATTTTTCTTCTAACTGAGGCGGGCGGATAAAAGCAGGCGCTTGCCTCTTGTCTAAGTCGCCCCTTATAGAGAAACGCCGCGCACGGAAGCGGCCCCTCGCTGGCCTTTGGAGGCTGGGCGCGGCTGCCCGTTGTCGACCTGAGTTCCCGATGGGCGGAGTTGGCGCTTCCAGCCCCCAGTCCTGCCCTGCCTCGGGGAAAGGGGCCAACCCAGCGTCGCGCTCTTCGTCTACTAGCTGACTTCAGCAGCATGGACGCGGGCTCTGGCCCCATTAGCTTCTCTCCCAACTTTCAGGAAGGTCCTTTCGGTTGCCCCATTTGCCTAGACTCTCTGAAGGACCCGGTCACCACTCCTTGCGGCCACAACTTCTGCTTGGAGTGCATCGGGGCTCACAGGCATCACCCCGGGGGCGTTACAGGAGCCGGAGGACCAAGTGCCTCCCGCTGCCCCCTCTGCCAGGAATCCTTCCCAGCCGACCTCTCGCTCCGTAAGAACCACACCCTGGCGGAATTGTTGCAGCTCCGACAGCCCTCGCCTAGCAGTCCGGGCCTGGCTATGGCACCCGAGGAAACGTCGGAGCCGCGCGCTCCGGGCAACGGCGATGCCCAGATCGAGGAGGTGCTTTGCGACTTCTGCACCGATGGGGAGAGGGCTGAAGCGGCTAAGTCGTGCTTGGTGTGCTTGGCGTCCTTCTGCACCCCCCACTTGCAGCCTCATCTGAAAAGCCCGGCTTTCCAAAGCCACCGGCTGGTTCCGCCGTTGCGGCACATCGAGGAGAGCCTCTGTAAGTTGCACCTCAAGCCCTTGGAGAGCTTTTGCCGCACCGACCACAGCTGCATCTGCCAACTCTGCCGGACCCAGGAGCATCGGAGCCATGAGGTGGTGGCCGTGGAGGTGGAGCAGGAACACGTGGAGGTGGGTAGGGCTGTCGTCGGGGTACAAAGGGGCTCCTTTGTGCACTCTGATTCCAGAGGAGCGACGGAGGGCGCAACCTGGACGGGGCCGGTGGAACAAGCCTCCAAGCTGCCCTCGCAATTTGTGGCCTCAGAATAAGCACACTGGCGGCGACCGGCGCTGGACGTGTGAAATTTTTGCTGGACGTGTTAGGATTTAGGAGCGTAGTTAGGAGCGGGGGTAGAAAAACAATACAGATTGGAAAGCAGGAGTTGGGGAATGCGAGAATCCGCAATGGAAGAGGACTGCAAAACCTGCCTCAAAGTCCACCTGATAAAAACCTATATCCACTTTAAAGGGTATGGGCTCGTTCAGCCAAAGAGGAATGAAAGGTAGTTTGCAGATGGTCAGAAGCACATTTCTGCTGCTTAATTTTTAAAAGAAGAAACCTTTAATGATTAATGTTTTACCTACCAAAGTTTAGGGATTTTGAGGAAGGCTGTAATTGTTCTAGGAGAGATGATTAGGAGATGTTTATAGTTAAGCTTGTGAAAAAGAGAGGAATGGGGTCCTGGCTGCTTGGGAGCTTTTCTGTTGGATAAAGAATGGGAAAGCATTCTGCTCAGTCTTGGAACCCAAACAGGCTGGCCAGTTCTGGATGAAATTGACCCCTTCCCTTTACTTTTCATTATATAAGGCTGATCAGACAGATAATCTTTTATCCAATAGATAATGGGGTAGAGTTAGATTTAGATACTGAGACTAATATTGGGTGCAGGATCCTGCTTAATGTAGGCAGCTGATTTAATTAAGTTAAAGGTTCTCTTCAACCTGATTTCCAAGCATGCTGGGTCCAAACCAAATGGAATGGAAATCCTGGGAATAGCAATTCCCACTTGAATGCAGGGCTCCACATTAAGGAAATTGGGTTTACAAAATTGACTGTCTTACCAAGGTAGGGGAATCACAAGTTGAACAGAGTAAAAGGGGAAGGGAGAAATATAAAAAGGACATTTTATATTTTTTGGGCTCACAAATAATCTGCCGTGACATAGGGCATCCCTTTTGCTGGTCTGAGTCAACTGTAAATGGGAATGAATGAGCTTTATGAGAACCATAATTTCACTTTGTAATGTTTCATTGCAAAGCCATTCTTGGAGTGACTATCATATGATTCTTGATAGTCATTATATACATAACTTAAGAGAGAAGCAAGAGGTTTAGGGGTAAAAGTTCTGGGGAATTACATATCTGGCATGTTGAAAGGAGGCGTACTAGGAACATTTGGCATCATGAAGGAACTATACTCTCTCAAATTAGGGAGCAGATTTTTTGTTTTTATTTAATTTTAATTTGAGATGGTCATTATGGGTAAACCTTGACTTATGGCCAATCATTTAATGGCCATTTGAAGTTACAGCATACCCCCCCCCCCAAAAGCTACCTATAATCTGGTTTTGAAATTAAAGTCATTGCAAAATCCCCATGGTCCCTTGAACAAAATTTGGGTGGATTCTCTCTTGTGTCCAACTACAGGGATACTGCATTGCCCCTTCACCTTCCCCCCCCCCCCACCCCCACCACACCATCCCATTTAGCACATTCAATAAAAAAACTCCCAGCTTTTTAGATTAACCAAGAGTGTAGCTTTATTGAAAAATCCATCTAGGTACTGCAGAAGCAAAGTCAGTTCTGGGATTTTTCCCATGAAAACCCACATAGATAACTCCCTTTTCCACTCCAGGCCACCCACAGTTCAATTGAGTTCAGTTTTTATTGCTTTGGGAAAAGCTGTCTGTTTCAGTTGAAACATTCTTCATCACTTGGCCTCATTAGATAACATCTTCCTGGCAACAGACAGTTCACTTGCATTCCATAGCTTCCCTCTATTCTTAGGAATTCCCT